TTCTATTGGTTGAAACGAGTGGTTGTTACAGTCAAAGGGGGAAAATGATATAATAACTAGATGGTGTCTGGAGGGTTACCGTTCGTTACCTCCTGCGTCCATTGCAACCCTCCACTTCCACCAATAAGATCGCTCCATTTTCTTCTTGCCTCTATTCTCTATCAATTTCAATAATCAGCCCGCAAAAATCAGCCGGCACAGCATTTTACGAAATTTCAGTATGAAATTTGATGAAATTCCGCTACAAAATTTCATTTTATGAAGTTTTATAAAATTTAGCACCTCTACATGACATCATTCCTCTGTGCCAAGGGAACCACGCCGTATGAACCTTTGGACGTTGCAAAATTTTCCTCAATAAATGACAAATCTCCTAGTAAATTGATGAATATTTTTCTTCCAGTTTTTCTAATGAAACTGTTCGCAATTTCACCATAAGTTCCTTAAAATTTCAAGGCAAAGTTTCAAAGCAAGTTTTCTCAAAAATTAGCATTTTACAGGTGGAAATTTGGCCACTCTTAATTTTTATACTACGCTTTTCTTTAGCACAACAGTGCTCCCGTGCCGAGGAAGAACGCCGTATGAACATTCGAGAATTGACAAATTTTCTTGGATAAAATGTTTATTTTTGAGGAAAATTATGAATATTTTTCCTTGAAATGATCGGAGACTTCAGATCAAATTACAAACAAAAGTATCTGAGAAATTGGCGGGAAAATATTCAAAATCCTGAAAATTAGTGATTTGCCAGAGGAAATTTGGCAACGCCTGAGGGTTCATACGGCGTTTTTCCTTGGCACGGCAGTACTGATCTGCACGTATTGATCTTCGATTGCGGGGGCGGCTGATCTGATCTTTCACGGAGCGTAATTGTGACGCATCGGCATCACGTGTTTATCGGGCGGCGTTACCTCGACATTCAAGATCACCGGGCGCCGCACAGTGGATCGAGTCAGTAGGAGAGGTCGGACAAAATTTGGAAACTTTAAACGCTTCTAACTCCGTTTATACAAAACTTTAAGGTTCTATGAGGGGTTTCATTGGTTTTCTCGTGAAATTCTCGTTGGGAAGTACCCCTTAAATTTTAAATTGTGACGAAATAACAATCAAAATTTGCAGTTTTAGTAAAAAAATGTAATGTCCGACCTCTCCGATTGCCTCGATCCACTGTGCGGCGCTTGTGGGTTTATTTCCTTGCCGCCACGCGAGCAGACTTATCTTCCTTCCCACTCCCCCACCCCCGCCCCCACCCTATTCCCGGCGGTGAACCCGGAAAGCTTCATGCTGTGGTTGAGCTGAACAGTCGCGATGATGCTATCCGATTATGAGATGTTGTGGCAGTTAGGGTATGATCAATAACATAATAAGAGAATGAACTATCATTAGCGGATCCAGCAAATCGGGAACATTGTTTTTCTCCTTTCAAACCTATGGAAATTAATCGATTCTTGAAGCCGCCAGGTGCTCCGACAAGAATCGATTATTTAACATAGGTTTAAATGGAGGAAATCCGGTGTTGCCCAATTGCTGGATCCGCCTCTGTTTAAGACTACTAAGAAGATCAAGATCAGTGACGCCGTATCTGCATAATACTGCCGTGCTAAGGAAAAACGCCGTATGAACCTTCGGGCGTTGTCAAATTGTCTTCGATAAAACACGAATTCCCTGGTAAATTCGTGAATATTTTTCTTCCAATTTTCCAGAGAATTATGTTCGTATTTTGATCTAAAGTTCCTGAAAATTTCAAGGAAAAATGTACATAATTTTCCTTAAGAATAAGCATTTTATCAAAGGAAATTTGGCAACTCTGGAATGTTCATGCGGCGTTTTATCTTAGCATGGCAGAATAGTAGGTTGAAAAGTTTTATGGGGACGGGGTCCAAAGACCTATATGGACCGCGTGGGGTAGAAAGGAATCAAGCCGAATCAGCTACTGCCAAATTTAATGGGGCAATTCAATTTTGTACAGGAGAACGCTTAATTGTGCGGATTTTTTTGAAAATGTTAAGGAATTCGCTTCGCACTCTGCAGAAAACTTATTGAAATTTGCACTAAAGTCCACTTCCATGTAAAAAAGTAAATTATCCAATTGAATTTGGCAATAGCTAATCAGGGTTGCCACAATCAGGGAATAACGGGAAAACCGGGAAAAGTCAGAGAAAACCTGGAGATGTCAGGGAAAATGACACACATGTTTAGGAAAAATTGTCAATAAGTCACCTTTGTTACCTCTCTAGAACAGATTTGACGATTCGAACAACAAATTTTGCCTGAAAGCTATTTCAATTTTTGTATTTTCAAGCATCTGCCATATCCTCAATTGTGCAGGGAATTTCACCAGAATGTGTCAGGGAAATCAGGGAAATGTCAGGGAATTTCGTTTTCTAAATTCTGTGGCAACCCTGGCTAGTGTGGCTTGCTCCATTTCTGCTTAACGTGGTCTATTCACCCCTCACGAAGTTTTTCTGATTTTAAGTGATCACAAATGGGATATGGGCCATATTTTTCATTAAAAAACATACTTTCGGGCTCATTTTAGAAACAATGACTGACCAATGTCATGTTGGTGCCTTTTGACCTCCCAACAAAATAATGACGACTTAGGATTGGGGCCTTTTGTTCAATCTCAGACCGATTAAGGCCTTATCATATCTTCCCTGGTGATATATATTGACATGAAACTGGGAGCAGCCAAAACTGCCTGATATTTCTGGCGGAGCGATAGTATTATCAGTGAAACAGGCGGACATGAAAGGCATGAAGATGGAGTTTCAGGAGGTCACTGGATCATTTCCGTATACTTGTTACGGATATGCTAATCATCACAGATATATTACCAACACAACATTTCATGTTAACGATAGGAATGCAGGGAAGGCTATAAAAACTCAGGGTTTATAAACTGTTTTGCGGCGTGATAGCATGTCGTTAAGATCTAAAACCTCCCCATTAAATATAATAAATATATACCCTCTAATAAGACTTGGCTGGAATCAAGACAAGTAAGACAAGAGGAAAGTTAGGTTAACCGTAGATGCCAGTTGAGAAGGAACAAATGGACGGATTAAGAAAAGGAAAATTTGTCTCAAAAAGGAGGGAAACAAAAAGATACCGACCATGTCAACATTTCTTAATTTTCGGAAGAAAATTTCCTCGAGTAATTTGCAGATTTGCAGTTGTTGTCACAGAGGATAAAGATGAGAAACTTGTCAAATCTTAAATTCAGTGTTAAAAAGGAAAAAAAGGAGACAAATTGCAATTTTACCATTTTTCCCACCAGTATAATCTACATCTACCACTGATTTCAAAATTTTCCTATTGCTCTCTTTTCTAAGAGATAGAACCAAGTACTCACCTACTCGTGTAAAATTCTTCACAAAAGAAGTATGTCATAGCGTAAGATGAAAGCAAGCAAGGTAAAGAGGAATAACCTCTTTTGGTTGTTGGTACCGTCCATACTTAAGGTACACGGACTTTATGTCCACTTTTTTTACGTCTACAGACTTTTCGTCCACAATTTTTACGTCCACAGTTCTAAAGCTCACACTATTGTTAAGTCCATTACTTACACGTCCACTAAGTTAAGTCCACGAATGTGAAGTCCACTAAAATCAAATTTAAGCGTAATATTTTAGTCCATGTGTAAAATTATATCGACGATATCGAAATGAGAAAATTAGGAGAGAATGAGGTGTTGTTATCGTAACTCATGTTTTAAATGAAATGTTAATTTCTTCTTTTGATTCATCTTTTCAAATTGTCTTTGGTAAATACTTGGTTTCATTTCTATCCTTGAAATTTCCGATATAAAATATGCCTTAAATGTACATTCTTTTTTTTTAATGAAATTGATTACTTCATTTTAAAAATATTTACATTTTTAAAACGTGGTAAATATTTGTAAAACCTTTTCCAAGCAATGGCATCGATATGAATCTCAATGAGCCGTAGTTGTGATGAAAGAAACTATACAAAATTTAATAAAAGAGGAAAGGAACTAAGAAGTACGCAATTTTTTGTTTTTAACTTATTTGTACATCGACCTCCTTAAATCAAATACGTCTAATTTTGAGCGTTTGGTTGCGCTTACACCACGCTGCAGCACAGTAAAAGCCCAAAACATAAAAGAATAAATTTGAATGTTTTGAAATCATTAAATTTGATACGGAACCACTATTATATTTACAAAAAACATATTATATTTTCCAGTATTACACATTTCTTTTTTATCAGTTTAAAAGGGAAGAATCAATACAGAGAGTGCAAACATTCCAAAATCATGAGTTGAAAAACGCTGGCTCCGCGAGTTTAAATATTAGAGCCCAACACAGAGCGGAGCGGCGTGTTAGCAGCGCAGAAAGCGCACTGGCGCCTACAAACCTAACGGGATACTTCACGCATTGCGCAACGCGTGAAGTATCCCGTTAGGTTTGTAGGCGCCTATGCGCGTGTCACGCTGGTTGCCTGCCGCGCCGCCGCAACGCTTTAAGCAACTATTTCGCGTCAGAGGCGTTGCATAGTATCCTACAAGATTGAAGGCGCACGAAATAACTAGTTAAAGAAGACTTTCAATTTTGACTGCATCTGTTCCTGAAAAATGTTTAATTTGGCATTGGAGCGTTTCCTAGGCTGCCGCTTTGGTTTTCACCTTATCATATCCGTACAGTGTACACATGAACATATGTTTTTATCTGCTCTTAGAGTCTGTTCTCTTTCATGACTTGATTCATGAATGAAATGTTTTTAAGAATGGAGGTAGTAGTAGTGTGCATTTATTTTTGAGGTGGTTCCTGTGATTTAAATGAGAAGAAAAAAATGTGGACATAACATGTCCACAATTTGGACAATTTTGGACATATTCATGGTTGGACATTAAATCATGTGGACTTAATAAAGACTGGACTTAACGTTTAGTGGACATAAATAGCGGTGGGCATTTATTTAATGGACGAAAGGTAGGTGGACATAAAGTCCTGGAAGCATACTTAAAGGATACTTACTCAACTTAGTTGCTCCTCTTTGATAAGGGTCCATTTCATCAAGGTGATCGTCTCCCATTTTTTCCAGATTCCACCTTCCGTACATCAACAGTCTTTTGTTGCAGTCTGAAAGTAGAATAAAACTTCGTTAAAAACAGAAAATTTTCAATTCTTAGGATGGCTGAAGCATTAATCGCGGAACTTACGATCAGTCAAATCTACATCGGGGAATGAGATAAGGGTCGGATTCACAGTTTAATAGCTCTTTTCCTTAAGAGGCGCCATATGGTTTGCACCTCTGAGTGAAGGAGGTTCGACGAGATCCTGTACAAAGTATCATGAGGAGGACACTTTTTTTGCACCTCTAGTAAAATTCAGCAGGATAACTTTAGAAGTGGGCCCTTGAAAGGGATTATAATGATTTACCACTGCGAAAAACACGAAATACGAAAGAAAATATTTTGCGAGTTTCGTAAAATTTACTGTAGGTCTGTACCTACCTTAAAGTTTGTCGAAATCATAATAGTTTTTCTTTCGTATTTTGTACTTTTTGCGGCGGCAAATCAGGTAATCCCTCCTGCCAAGGACCCATTTCCTAGGATATACTGTATAATTTTACTGGAAGTTTGCAAAAATTGTTCTTTTTATGATGCTGTGTTAAAGATCCCCTTCAATCTCCCTTAATCACTATTTAAATCAAATTGGGCCTCCGCTAAGGAAAAGAGCTCTTTAAAGGACGATTATGAATACAACCCATCGTATTTTTACTAAGATACGAGTGAAGTATACTTTTAGTTTCCTTATGCATCAAGCCACTTTTTGAGAAAATCGGTGGCAAGATTGTCTCACTTCTGTCAGCAACCTCTTTTCAAGGAGCATGACCATGTGCAGGAAAACCGGACAACACGAATGTCAACAAAAACCCGTCCCTTGTCGATGATGAATGCGGTGACGGTTTGACGTCCACCAAAAAACTAGCGGGAAATTCGAATAAAGACAATAGCTTCAGAACGAATAGTACATTCAGTGAGGCTTAGAGGTAAAATGAGTAATTTTAAAATGTCTTGGGAAGAAACTGATTTTAGAGCCTCTGGAAATTTTATTCCCACTCCACAGTTGATGGATGTCTTTATTATTTATAACTGCATGAGGTACAGATCTAAAATTTAACCTGATGGAACATACAGAATAAAATCCCATCTAAATCAAAATAGCTACGTTTATGCGAGGCTCGAAACCGGGGTTTCACGAAACCCGAGTTTGTAATGCAAGTTTCCTCCGTCGGGTTTATGCGGGCGCTGTAACCCGACTTTCGCGGGAAATCAAACTTTCCGATTTTGGCGCTGTTTATGCGCATATTTTCGATTGAACTTGAATTTCATGTTGGCGCCATTTTCACAAGCTATACTTCATTTTTCCACTATGAATTGATTCAATAAATTATTAGGTATTACTCTTTTATCCTGTGTATGTTCAATTTTTCCACAATATATAAGCGGAGGCTTCATCTTCACTAGAAAAGCCTTTACTGACTTTCTGAGCAACAGTTGGAAAAATGACAGTAGATGTTTAATCATTTTACGTTCATCTTTAAAATTGAATGAATACCTAATCTCAACAACCCTCCAAATCATGGTCGAGCTTATATTCTGAGTTCAGAAAAGTTGCAATAGGTAATTTTTAGTGATGTTAAAAATAATTATGGCAGGCGCAGAAATTCATCATGTTGTTGATTGAGCTTCTAATGATCTTACAATAGGTAGATATAGGCATTGAAAGTGTAGGAGTGCTAATCCAGTAAAGCACCGCACCTTCACTCCATGCTGTCGTAAAGATTGTACCTATGTCTGCCATTATTGTAGTGAAACAAATAAAGAATCGGGATATACTTATGGGAATTCCTCCTTCAAGATATGAGCAAAATAAGCAGATATTGATAGGTCAACAATGTATCGCTGAAGCAGAAGCGTCTAAATCCTCTTGAGGCAACGGACGGTGACAATCTCAACAAACTGGTGACGCTTCACAAATTTTGAATTTCCACATTCCCAGAGACACGCGCTGAAATCCTGTTTCTCACCCCTCTTTCCGACTGCTCTCCGAGTCCATGAGTAAGACAGGAAGAAAATAGGCAAGCTACCTACCACTGTTTGCCTACCTATGTGTGTTTTTCTTAAACTTGATTTTCAAAGGTGACTCATGTAAAGAGCAACTGACAAACAAGATTTCAGAACCTGCCATTGCATTTCACTAACCTAAGACACAAATCCAACCTTACCATTGATATTCTTTCGCTTGGATTGTATATTATTCTCCCACTGAGATTCGATATGAACTCAATTCAAAAATCCTTCTGAATTTAATTATTCAGGTAGATTGGATTCTGGAGCTCTCAGTCTATCTGTAAAGCGCATTTACTAACATTCACTGCTGTCAAAAGATATTTTTGCACAGGCAGAGCCACTTTCCACAGTTGATGCATCTCTAACGCAAAAGCTCAATTATGACAAGTGGTTCAACGACCAAAAATTGTTACACGCCTCAATAAAAACCTTATTCTTATCTCAAATTGAAAATCTTGGATCACAGAGCACTCACCGAAGAATCTCCTTCCTTCTGCATCAGTATGAGAAGAGTGACGATACTTTGGAGCAATAACTTTGAACTAGTTTCAATAAATGATGGCCTCAGAATTTGAGTCATCATTTACAAGAGATTGGATCAAAGAAATAAGTCAGCAGGTCACGGTTGTGACTGGTCTCACACTTCCAGTAGGACAACCAGGAAATAGATACACGGATAACACACAAATTCAAGAGCTACGCAGCTCTGATTGGATCAGATTTTAGATTTAATCGGTAGATTGAAATGAAAAAATTCGGTACACTACTTAAAGGGAAGCAGGGTGCCTTATCTTGAAATCCTAGGCAAATCGTGTGATACAGTAAAAAAGTTCTCCGCAGATGATGAACTGGTAGGTAAGGCTATTACTCAATTGTAGCCTGTAAAGCTCTTCGCTTGCTTTGCTTCTGTAGTCATAAAATGTTGATTAGAGTTGCAAGAATAATCTGAAAAAGCAGTAATAAGCCTGGATTCCATCTGACACTAAACACCTTCACTAGAAAATAACGTCCTACGTTTAGCTAAATAATGATAAATAAGCCACATATAACTGAAGGAATCACGCAAAAGTGCTTCAGAAACAATGGGCCTGTTGCATGCAAGAGATACAGCCGTGCGAATAGACTTTTCAGAGGTTAAATGACACAAAAATTACGATGGTCACATTAAAAAAGTCTAAAATACACTCCTTACTGCGCATTTTGCGTTGTGAGGAACGCGCTTTTTCAAATTTCCCGCGTCTGGGGGCAGTTTTCTAACGGAAACAATTAACGGCAACTCGCGGCTATTTCCGGTCAACTAAAACTGACAACATAACCTAAAAATCGGAGCTTGTGATATCGTGAAATGAAATGTAGAAGGATTGCGTTGGATATTTAAAAGTTGATCGATTTGGTTACCGCATAAAGCGTATATGGACCACTATAAGAGATCACGTTGGGTTTGTAAACAAACTGAAGGAAAAAATAACAACAACAACAACGACTCGGCATCTTCCGGAAATCACCGAGCCCGCCGTTTGCTCGTTTCCGGTGATTAGAAAACTGCCCCCAGACGCGGGAAATTTGAAAAAGCGCGTTCCTGACAACGCAAATTGCGCAGTGAGGAGTGTATTTCAGACTTTTTTAATGTGACCATCGTAATTTTCGTGTCATTTAACCTCTAAAAAGTCTATTCGCGCGGCTGTATCTCTTGCATGCAACAGGCCCATTATAGTAAAATTATGGTTTTAAACTCAGGTTTCGATTGAAGTCAGGTTAAGAGGCTCGCATAAACATAGCTAATGGTTTTGTAAAATGAGTAGTAGTGTATCAAATCGAATGGGCAAACGGGTTTGAAGAGACAACAGCCGGGAGGGATTTGATGTTGTCCGGCTTTCCTGCACAGGGCAAAAATCCTTTTCAAGATGCCCCGAACGCAAAATTCTCCATCTGCTCTCGGCATAATATAAAACTAATGATTTACTCCCAATTTTTGGAAGAGGGCAGATCGTCTCGCCAACAGAGGCGGATCCAGCAATTTGGCAACACCGGAATGCCTCCATTTAAACCTATGCTAAATAATCGATTCTTATCGGAGCACCTGGGCCTTCCAAGAATCGATACATTTCCATAGGGTAAAATGGAAAAAAATACGATGTTTGCTGGATCCGCTAATGCTTGCCACTGATACCTGAGTAGCAGTGATCGCGACAAGTTGCGATTTGATCGGAGGATGTACCGCGATTTTATCGACATCGATTTATTGCAATCGGATGAAAAATAGCGATTTAATCGCGTACATTTGCAATGAAATCGTGATTTTATCGACGGCCATTTATCGCGAGATTATCGAACAAAAAATCGTGAAAAATTAAGACACAATCCCGATATTATCGAACGCGATTTTATAGAGATAAAATTTCGACAAGATCGAGGACAATCGCTCGGATATTGATGATCCTAGCGATTTTATCGCCAAAAAATCGAAAAAACTGCAATTTTAATCTCAAATCATCGCAATTTCGCCATTGAAAGATGCTCCGCGGGAGCAAAAATAAATGCCACTGCTGCATCCAGATCGTACCCGACGTAAATAGATCGGAGTTCGAGAACTTCTGTTATCGATTGACGCTGATTTCGATCGTGTAAATGCTAGTGGCGAACATTCCACGATCGATACTATCGGGTCATTTTGCACAGCATTATCGATGGCGCATCTCAAGATAGAATGCGAAGAAAAGATTCGCTACTGGCGTCTAATTCCAGAGATCCTCGCTACTCTGACGTAAGGATGTAATTCCACTTTGCGATGATCCCTATAGTCCATAGAACTACAGGCTTTCCAGAGGTCACGTCGAAATTAAGATACGGCCTTACGTTAGAGGAGCGACGAGATGATCCGCGCCAGAATTATTGCGCGGACGCTGAGCGAAGACGAACCAACTTATTATACGGCAAGGTTAAAAAGTAATGCTGGCGTCTGGTCGGTTGTTTGTCGGGCTAACCGAAGGCTGAAATCGTAAA